TCAATCTCCATTTCAAGTGTGTAAATTTCATGTTCACTCAAACAAGAGTAAAGAGTTAATTTTTGTTTCCTGCGTTGATTTTACAGGAGGAGTGTGGAGAATATAACTTCACACTATCAGCATGTTCCGCCGCAAAAATTCTAATCACGAGCAAGGGGAAGATGATCACGCGAAGAAGGTGATAAAGATTTCAGTAACTATTTCTTGTTAATCATGAAATGGTTTGTGTTCAAACTTTGCTTGAAAAATTTATATTTTTTCCTAGCATCGAACTAATATTATACCGTGCCATAAACTTGCACGGATTTGAACTTATATTGCAGGTTAGTGAACTAAAGACTTCTCTTGGGCCACTATCAGAGCGCAACTTGCAGTACTGCACTGATGCGTGCTTAAAGAGATATTTGGTAGCAAGGAGATTTAACGTAGGTAAGGCAAAAAAGATGCTTGAAGAGACACTGAAGTGGAGGTCATCATTCAAACCTGAAGAAATTCGCTGGGTAAGGGGAACACATTCTTCCTGTTGTGTCAGGCTGTCAGCTTCTAGTTTCTACACGTATAATTGTTTAAGATTATATTGAATATTGATGGCATGAGAAATCGAATTTTTTAGCACGAGGTTGCAATGGAAGGGGAGACTGGAAAGTTGTTCAGAGCAAATTTTCATGACCGCCATGGCAGAACTGTTCTCATATTGAGACCAGGAAAGCAGGTAGTACAATTAACAACTTAGAAAACATCCAACATCTTTGTTTTTTTAATATTTGTTTTGTGGGTGACGGGCAAGATATTTCTTACTATGGTTTGTTTCTCTGTACTTCTATGCTTGAGCACCTATGGGTTTCTTGGGAACAGTCTCTTTACTTCCAACTTCCAAGTAGACCCCAAACTCTACTTTTTTGTGGGATTCAACTGGGGTTGTTGGTGTTCTTGGCCAAGATATTTCTTAGGGTCGTTTTATGAAAATACCATGGAAAGAAAATACTGGTAGGAGAGAAAGCATGGAGAAATTTAGATCTCTGTAAAAAATTATAAAAAATAATCATAAGTCGTGTTCCTTTGCATTTTCCAAGGTCAAATGAAACATGCCGTTATAGTTAGGAGCCTTCATTTCCTTCAAAACATATTGTAATGTTTTTAAGTGTATACATCTAGGCACTCAATTGCAACAGTCTAATTAATGGGTGACTTTAATATTTTGCAGAATACAACATCAATAGATAACCAGATGAGGCATTTGGTGTATCTCATAGAAAATGCTATACTAAATCTTCCAGAAGGTCAAGAGCAGATGGCATGGTTGATAGACTTCACAGGGTGGTCTATTACCAATAATGTCCCTCTCAAAACTGCTAGGGATAGTATAAACATATTGCAAAACCATTACCCGGAAAGACTAGCCGTGGCTTTTCTATACAGTCCTCCACAAATTTTTGAAGCATTTTGGAAGGTTTGGTTTCATTCTCCCCATATTCGTTTTAGTAACGACATGGCTTTGATCCATTCTTTGCCATTTCCCAGCCACGCATCTAAAAAGTCTACTTTTACACACACTCGCATGAAAAACTGATGTTTTTCACTTTCCTGCAGATTGCCAAATTCTTTATGGACCCAATTACTTCTCAGAAGGTCAAATTTGTGTATCCGAAGAACAAGGACAGCATGGAAGTGATGAAAACCTACTTTGATGTGGACAATCTCCCAACTGAGTTTGGAGGAAAAGCAACTCTCGGTTATGACCACGAGGAGTTCTCGCGGCAAATGGCACTAGATGACCTTAAAACTGCGAAGTTGTGGGGCATCGACAAAGTCCACACCGTTCCTAGTATCTTATCTGGTGCAGAAGTTGCTTCACCTGCAGAAGCCTAACCACTTTCTTGGTGTTCCTTAACTTAGTTTACATAATAATTATCTCTCCAAGAGTCAATGCCACCATTGTGTTTTGCTCTTTGGAGCATGTGTTTGGTTATATTGTTCTCTTTTGTACAACTCTACCTTGAGAAGCTGTAGAGGCTCTCAATGGTGGCTGAAATATGCCTGTTTGGCTGTTACTATGTAACCTGATACTAAAAAACTTTGCCAACTATAATGCATATATATTTTTGTTGTAACTAACAGGTACTCCAATGCTGTCTTGTTTGACAACCTTAATAAAGTTTCATAGTAGTTTTTCTAGGCACAATTCTCAAAACGAAAGACACTATTAAATTGTCTGGTGTTGTTTTTAGTATATTTGTGGTCACTCGGTCTTGTTGTTTTATGCCAATTTTTTCTTCCCAAATATTTACTACGTAGCATTATTAACAGCTTTCATTTTACAATCAGTCTCAACTCTCACACTCCCTTTGTACTCTTGTATTAATACAAAGTATTTATGTTTTTCAATATTCTCATCATATCAACATTTTCAAAGCAACATTTTGATAATACGAAATGCTAATTTATAAAAAAAATGCTAACAACATTTAGACCCGAAACTGATGAAACCCGAACTGAACAGATTCGAATTGAATCATAAACGAATAAAATGATATCCAAACCAAATCATAACCGAATCAAATGAAATTTTTTGAACTAAATCAAGCCTGAAATGAATCACATAGTTGTCATACGTGGTGAATGAACAATTATACCTTTCTCTTTTGATAAAAGTTTAGGTTATGTAAATTTTTCTCATAAAAAAATTACTTATAGTATTTTTCCAAAGAAAATATTTCATTTATATTTTTAATTCTTACGGAGTGCAAAAATGTGATTGAATTGACCATATAGAGAATTTTCTCTTTTTTCGTAAGAAAAAAACCCTTTTAAATACAATTAACAATCATCACAAGTATTATTTCTCTTCGATTATTACTAACTGTAAATCCTTCTTGGCCTCGTGCGACAGAATTTTTTATTTTAACTTTCTTTACTATATGGACAAAGGGGCTGCTCTTGTACTACAATCCTTGAACATTTTCAGTATTTGCACATAGCAGAACCAGTTCACATTTAAACTCAAACACCAGCTTATCATTTGGAGATCTTTTAGTTTTTCTCTCTTTTTTTTCCTAAATTGCCAGAGCTTTGAGGATAGAAACCATCTGTCATATTCTAAAGGGACATTTGCCAAATATTGGAAAATTTGCCCTTTTCCCTTTACTTATTTTAAGTGATCAAGCTCCAAGGCAATCCTTGACCCCCTGTTCAAATATGTTGAGAGAAGAAATTGTAACCACAAGTGCATCTGCTATCTTCTGTCTGTAGCAGCAAAAACAAATTGTGAAATCAACAAGAAGGAATTCTTCACTTAACTCGTGGTTTAGACTTTGCAAACGCTCGAAAGCAGATAAGCAGAAAAGAATGCATGAAATAGCAAATAGTCCTATTTCTCGCGCAAAAGAAGCAAAAGCTTAACTTTTTGATTACTCTCTCGTTATAGAAAGAAAACGAATGGGACATGGTGGTTGCACGAGCTCAATGTCTATAAGTACCTGTTGGAAGCAACTTGTACATCAAGTTCACTTGCCATGCCATTGAGAGAAGCAAAGCATCTGCGCACGCATTGGGTAATATAAAAGAGCAACCCCACATCATACACACTATACATTTTGCAACTGCAATCGTCAAAAGCATGAATTCGCTGCCAAGAAGTATGTATGAAACTACAAAAGAAATATATATAATCAAAATCTTTGGGAAATAAAATTTCAGAATTAAGAAATAAAATGGTAAAATCTCGTCAACGGGATTGAGTAATCTTCTCTCTTTTAGTAGACAGCTCTCTTACATTCTATAAATAAACCTCTCTTAGAAGACTATTTAAGTAAATAAACCTCTCATTGTGCTATTAGATTTTGAAATCATATTACGATCTACCTTATTAGGTCAGTGAGCTTGGATTCAGCATCCATCTTTAAAGGATCCTTATCATCAAGTAAAGAAGAAGCATTTTTCAGAATCAACCTGAATGTGCAGACCTGAAGTTTCATAAAGTGTCTTAAAACAACATTAAAATTAGACAAGATCAAAATGGCTCATTAATCTGCAATTCCTTCTTACATTCTATGAAGTTTTGAGTAATGAATGCAAGAAACACATAAATGATTTAAGGGAAACGATGAAACATGGCATCCATTTCCTCCCATCCCGACGAAAACCTCGACTCCAGATGAAATAAAAAACCTAGTGAACTTCATATAATTTGCAGGTAAAGATGAAAACCTCGACTCCAGCTCGGGATTGAAACTGAACGAAACGATTTCTATCTTGAAGAACGCAATCCCTAGCAGCAGACTTTAGCAAGCTCTGTACTTCTTCCAATCCATTTTCATCAAATTCGGATCCACCGTTCCGATTCACTGTGAATATCGATTGAACAGAATAAATTATTGGCAACCCTAATGCAAATTGGGTACTTGAAACACATTAGCCGCCACAGATATGAAGATTTACCGAGAAGATGATGAGCCGTCTGGAGGCTATTGCGAGAGGCACTTACAGGAGCCAGTAAGAACTTGGCCGACTTCTTCTTCTGCTCTTGAAGCCACTGTTTCGGCCCAGCTGAAAATTAATCAGCAAAAGAAAAAAAATGAAATTAGTAAGGATTGAGAGATTGTGAGGAAGATAAGATGATGAGTTTTAGAGTACAGATGCCGAGCGAGAAGGCCGAAGCTGCCGGTGGATGGCGGAGAGAAGGAAGAAGGGGAGCGAGTAGAGAGAGTAAAACGACGGCGTTGCGGCGGCAGATCGGCTTTCCTTCGAGCTGAGGTGAATATTTGTTGTTGAGGTTTGGCGGGAGCGACGCTGAGATAGGCGTGGCGGAACCGGCGATCAGGAAAAGTCTTGGTGGTGGAGACATGGCGGCGGCTTCGCCGGCGATTAAAAGGTTCCGCGGTGGATACGAGTAGTACCGCCCTTGACAACAAACGCAATTCTAAAAAAGAAAAATGGAGATGCGGGGGATCGAACCCCGTGCCTCTCGCATGCAAAGCGAGCGCTCTACCATTTGAGCTACATCCCCGAATTGCCCTTGGCTTGTTAAGAAAATAAATATCAAGTAATATAACATCAGTATCAAAGATTCAAAGGAGACGCACCATCCAATTATTTTTAGGATTATAGGATCCCTCTGCATGAACTTATTTTCCCACAAAATGTTTTAAATTTTAAACATTTTTTGTTTTTTTTTTCAAAAATACTATTTAGTTAGAGAAATTATGTCAAATATTTTTTCTGCGACATGTAAAAAAATTGCATTTTTTTTTTGTGATTTGAAATAAACAAGTATTTTGTAGTACCTGCGTGTTTGGGTCACAGTTTACCCACTAAAAAATCACTAATCGTTAAATGCAAATGAATTTATAATTTATATTTAAAAAATCAAGAAATGTTTCCATATGTTTTTATTTCCCAATGTAAGACCATTGGTCATTATCAATTGGTCATTATTCAATTAAATGTCCAGCATCACTTGGACATTATTCTTTTCACTAGTCATTATTAAGTTCTATTTAGGGAATAAAAACATTTACGTCTTACATTGGGAAATGACTTATGTTTTAGTCCTATTCAGTGCAAATTTGACATTATAAAATATAATTTTTTAAAAAATATATGCTTTTTATTTTTGTCAAAATCATTAACGAAATATGAATATAACTTTAGGACAAAAGAAGTGACTTAGAGCATCTCTAACTATAGCATCTTAGTTTGCTAAAAGTTATAATATAGCTAACTAAACTCTTTTGTTCTTCTCCAAAGGGCATCTTTTATTTTAGCAAGTTTGCTAAAAAATGACTTTGGCTTGCTAAATATAACAAGCTCCTCAAACTTTAGCAAGCCAATACCTAAAAAATAAAATAGGAAATTATGGTTAGAGAATGAAACAAAAAAGTGCTTGTTATATCACTATTCACTTGCTATAATGTAAAAATAACAAATCAATATAACAAGCATGGTTGGAGATGCTCTTACAAATAGAAAGTTTTTATCAAAATCAATAAAATACAAAACAAATTAGTTCTAACCATGTGTTTTGCATAAATTTAGTTTTACTGTCACACATAAAGTTTTTTCAATTCTTTTAAAGTTAGAGACTATCAGAAGATAACATACTCCCTCCGTCCCAAAAAGAATTTCCTACTTTGATTAACGTGTAAAATCTCATATATTTTAAAATGATTTTAATTGCAAATTAGTAAGGAAATAACACATAAAAAATTATATTTAAAAACTACGGAGTACATTGAAAACTCTACAAAATAAGAGGTGACAAGAATATTTTATTTTATCAAATGGTCAATGAAAACACGCAAACAAATAAGAGTTATCGAGAGATCGTAATAGTAAACAGGAAAGACTTTTTGGGACGGAGGGAGTACTAAAATTTAATGTCGATCACAGTCCATTTGACATTCTATCCAAACTAACAATCAAATTGCTAAATCTCAGCGATGAAAATATTTTTCTTGCTTTTTTTGTTGCATATTTTCTATTATCATTTCTCAAGGTACATGATAGTATTAAATTAACACTTTCACCAACACTATTAAAAGCATAAAATAAACTATAAATATGCAATAGTTTTAAAAATATTAAAAACTCGATGACACCATATTTTTATAAAGACTTACAAGAAGAGACATAATATTTCAATTATCATGCTTTTATACGCAACATATTTACCTCACTATAGGTTTTCAGTTAACAAAAAATGTACCAAAAAAGATAATGTATTTTTATCAAAATGGATCAAACAATTACTTGAAAGTAAATTGAGCTAAACAAAAAAATTGTGTCAAAATTTGTTGACTATTGCCAAGCTGCCCATTCCGACCAGTCCACGTCCCCCGCTAAAATGCGCCGCCTATCCTCCGCCGTACAACTCCCTTCCGACTTGGAATTTCCTTTGCTAAAAACAAAAAGCCCACCGCAACGCCGCCACATCGGCACCCAAATCCGCCGCCGCGTCCCAGTCACGCGAATTGCCCCCACCGGTTCTTGTAAATACGGACAAACCCAACTGCATTTGGCGTTTTTCTCGCACGATACGCGGAAAATCCGGTTCGACCTTCTCCTTCATCCCGGTAACGTAAATACATGCAGAGAAATCGTTCGTTGAGGATTAGCACACGAGGAAAATCCATCTTGTGCAGCTCAATCACAGTCAGCAAGGGATTAAGACCCGACTCGATTAGATTTCGGGTTTCTTCTGTTTACCTGCCACTTGTCAGTCGAATTCGCGGGATGGCGTGGTGTATATAAAGGAGACGATGCGAGTTCCGAAGCTTTCGGTTACGTTTTGCCTTTCGGTCTTCTCTCGTTCTCACCACTTTTCTCGAAACCTCCGCTTGAATTCGCAGAGCTATTTCGCTGGAAGAGACGAACCAGTTCTTTCTATAGGTACCATTAATGGCGGATATGATTCCGTTCTCGCTGTTCTCTCTTCCATTTACAGTCTGTGTTGCTTTGCTTCTCCCTTCAGTTGGATATATGTGGTGGATTGAATGCTCCTTCTCTTATGTGTTAGCTTCGTGATTAGATAAGAGTCTATATCTAATCATTACCTTTTTTTTAGTTAGTTCTTGTAAATTTGTGAGGCGAATTTTTGGTGGACGAGTTTTCGTGAGTGGAGCGAAAGGATTAACGTGTTGTCTTGTGAACATATGCACTTCGTTTTAGCCATTTCTACCAGTACTCTCTGCGCTCAGTCTCAAATTTTTGCAAACCTTTTTTCTGGAATGTTGTATGATAAAGAAGTTTGCTAAAGAGAAGTTTAATGATGAAATGTTTTCCAACGAACATCTATTCATGATCTTCTCTCACACAACAGACACACACAAACGTTAATACCCATTGAAATTTGTATGCTATAAATAGGTAGTATGGTTTATTGGAATTTACTACTGATTAGTATGCTGAATGGTTTACTAGACTGTTTTGTGGAGGCAAGATACTTGTGTGTGGTGACAGATCTTCAGTTTATGAGTGAACTTAAGTAATTAGCCTTGACGTAATATGGTTGTTCCTTGGATCACATCTTGGATTTTATGCTTACAAATCATTTGTAAAGGTAAGATAGTAAGATTCTCTTTAGGAAAGGCTCACTTGATGCATACTTTTTTTTCTTTTTATTCCCTGAGTTCATTAATATCATTTTGCATTATTAAAGTTGTTAGCCTATTGATCTTTTTTCCGTTATCTATAGACTATAGACATATAAAGCTGATGCTGCTATGGTTGCAGAGTTCTACTGTTCATAGCACAAATGTACTGATTAACGTGGATGCATAAGGAATGTGATAATTTGAAACTTTTTCTCCGTACATAATTGGAATGTTAATTATCATACCACTTTGATAGTAAATGCGCGCAGAGTACTGCACTACTGAAAGATCTTGTAGGGTTATTGTGTGGTATTCTGCTTTTAGTAATAATTTAATTTCATTGCAATTACCTTTTTTGGTGGTGTCTGCACATTTCTATTCTTGCATACTTATCCTCAAGCAATTTAATTATGACACTCGCAAATGCATTCAGGTTGTAATAAGTTTCATACACATTTTGCAATGGCTGGTGTGGGCCTGGAAGACAAGAAGAAACCACCTGAGAGAGAAAGTTCTGCTGGTGATGGTCAGCGTTCCTGCACATGGACATCTCCAGGAGGGTGCAAAATTGATAATGGAAAGCAGATCTTTTGCAATAGATCTCTGAACATGAAAAACATAGTTGCTGTTGGGTTTGATATGGATTACACTTTGGCACAGTATAAACCGGAAACATTTGAATCTCTTGCATATGAAGGCACCATAAAAAAACTGGTATTTGATTTGGGATATCCTCAAGAGGTTAGTGCTTACTATTATTGCTCACATGTGTGTCTGTAAGTGTTGTCTTACCGTGAACTCCAAGACAAAAATATCATATACTCCCTCCGTCCCACAAAACATTTCCGGTTTAAAAAATAGATGGCTTTCAAAATGTGAAAGTTTGGTGTTATTTTCTATTTTCTAAGTTTCTATTCTACACATCATATCCCACCCTATTATTAAGTAAGGGAAAACTTAAAAAAATAACACCAAAGTTATACATTTAAAGCTCTCCATTATTTAATCTGGATTTGCTTTGTGGGATGGAGGGAGTATGATATATTCAATGAATCTGAAATATTCATTTCTTGAAGGATGCCTAGCTTTATGATGACATTTTGGCACCTTCCCTCCTCCCCCTTTTGTTTACTTATGATTGTTACTCCCTGTCTTTATTTTAGTTCCTAGTTAGACGAGGCATGTAGTTTAAGATAAGTGTTGAAAAAATGAAAAGTGAATAATGTGTTGTTGGTATTTGTTTAGAAGAAACTAGAAAGGTAAATGTTGTGAGCTACTTATTTCATTTTTAGAAGGAAATGGGAGATTATTTCAGCCCGGACAAAAAAGAAAAGTGTGAAATTTAAATTGGGACGGAGGGAGTAGTTTATAATCAACAATTGGAGAAATTTTGTAGTTCTCATTGTAGTTCCTTTTGTTTTTCTAAAGCTATTGCAATGGGCATTTGATTGGAGCTACATGGTCAGGGGTTTAGTTCTTGACAAGAAAAGAGGGAATATATTGAAGGTTTGTAATAATCAGTTGTGGTATGACGATTAACATTAATGATTCGATTTGAACTTTTGTTCCTGCATTATTTCTTTTTTAACAGATGGACAGACACAAATACGTCAAAGTTGCTTACCATGGATTTCGGGAAATGTCAAAAGAGGACAAAGTTGCAACTTATGGCAATACTTTGCTACAAGATTCATTTGATGAACCCGATTATGCACTTATTGATACTCTTTTTTCCCTGGCTGAAACATACTTATTTGCTCAACTTGTGGACTTCAAGGACAATAATCCGGGAAAAATTCCTGAAGAGTATGAAGAAGATAGTAACCAATGTTGTTAGTTTAAGAAGCAGTGACGAACTGTTTTCTATTTCTTTCCTTGTTCATTGTATAGATGATATATGCTTTTATGTTCCTAGGGAGGGGGTTTCAGTTTCACCATCCAGTCTTAAAAAGCATTATTAAAATATTGAAGTGTTTCCACATAGACTATTTTTTCTTAAAGTTAATCAGTCTGGAGAAGTATCATCTTTTAGTGTTTTAGAAGCTTCCCCAGTTGGTTTTCCTTCCCCAGTTCCATCCTAGTTTGGAGAAGTATCATCTTTTAGTGTTTTAGAAGCTTCGGTTGGTTTTCCATAATAGCGACTTGCAATGAATTTTCAAATGGCATCTAGTGCCCAGTTCAATCATTTTGAGACTTTTAATGTGTAAGATTAGGGAAGCAGGGGATGCAGACATCTAGGTAGGACATATATTATGTCAGTCATTAACTGTTCCCTTGACCGGGGACTCCTTAATTCAAATGGCCATCCGGAGTATAAATTGAATGAGCATTATTTCTGGTAATTACAGAGAAATATTTAAAAACAAGATTGATAACTAACATCAAAAGTTTTTGATTGTGTGTCTTCAGTTGTGATATACTTATACGAGTATTAATATGTGAATCAGTTATGCCTTTTTGTCTTTCATGTGTGAGGCATACTCTGTATATGCAGTACATGTTGATGTGACATGTATCACTTTTCTAAAATTCTTTTCTCATGCTGCTTAATGTATCACCATTTATTTATTTGTCTATTTATTCATTTATTTATATTTATTTGTTAGCTTCATCACTGAAGATCTGCTAGTCACCTGAAAGGTGGTGAAAGCAAAGTTTGAACTTCAGTTGGAAGAACATTTAGCTAAGCTTTAGTTTGGCCAAAATAAATCTGGTCTGAATTAATATTGTGAAATGCATGGTAGTAGCAATTTAATCTTTACATAGTAGAATCATTTTTAAATAATGGGAACCTTAATTAGAAAGACCATTGTCAAACATTAATGTCAAACAGTTTAGAGAGAGAACGGAATGATAATCCATGAGGACCAATTGGTCTATATTTGTTTTAGTTGGGGTTGAAGTTGCTTTCATGATCTCTTGCTGCTTTAGGAAGATTTTTAAGACAGAAATCGAATTACATTGCTTGAAACTTTTGTTGTGACTTGTGATTAAGTTTAAAGTTAACCTAGTCTAAAAATTAAAGAATTTTGAAGACTTCAATTGGTAGATTATTATTTATTACAGTTCATACACTTCCTAAGTGAGAGATTTATTTGAATCGTATTTTAGGGAATTTTTATCATTAATTTGGGTAGAAACCAAACCAGTATACTTTTCCGTACCTCAGTAATATTTGTTCACACTCTTTTTGTCTCCTGATATAACTAAGAGTTGCAATAGGCACATACATATTTTGAGTGAATTATGTTTGACCATTTTTCCAATTCCCACTTCACAGCCCTTCTCCCTATGTTCTCTTACTTGCTATTCATAATTTCAGCTATTCCCGAATATACAAGGATGTTCGAGCAGCAGTAGATATGTGCCACCGTGATGGGACCTTGAAGCAGATGGTAGCCCAGGATCCTAAGAAGTACGATGTTTTTTGGTTTTGTTTTTATGTAAATGGTTCGGTAAAGTGTGCATACACCCACCCCCAAACCCCACTTGTGGGGTTACAGTGGCTTCGTTGTTGTGCAAGTAGAAACCAATTTGAACAGTAACTACAAAAATGGACCTTTTTGTGGCATAATGATAAGAAGAAAATGTGCCTCCCTAAAAGTTACAACCTTGACCTATACGTGCACTCGCAGAAAGCGGGTTCTCACCTTAAGTTCCAAACTCCTCAGTGTATAGACAAAGTACATAGATGATTTGGCAATCTAGTTGAGAATAGATGTGCTTGCTCAGGGCAGGCAAGTGGAGACTGGAAAACTTATGAGTGAAATTCACATGTCATGAAAGGACGTAGGGGGTCACTGACTTTAACCTGACTTCTTAGACGGGCATGGTTTTTCTCTAGTATCTAGTCTGACACAATCACTCTCAAGATATATGTTGCATTGAATTGTTACTATAATAAATGTTAATCGAATGCGAGTTATGCCGCTTTCACCAAATATGAGTCAATGTTTTTTAAATTTGAGCGACATGATGTATTTTAGGAATGTTTTGTATCACGCTCTTGAGAAATCATAGTTAGTTTCTATATCTCAACAAGTTTGAGAAATCTTAGGCAGTTTTGTTCCAACACATGAAACTAGGTAGGTCTGTGTTGCATTGAAATGTGATATGAAGGCTTTGCTGACCAGATGTGATTTTAACTGTTTTTTTAGCAAAACATGAAGTTGCATTTCCTATAATCTGACATCACACTGTATTCTGTGAATAAAATAATTGAACCAGCACAATTTTGAAAGAGATACTCATTATGTTTAGAAAGAATTTGTAAAAACTAATATATTCCCAAAATCTTCTAGATTTGCACCACTGTGGATCTTTATACACAAGTGTTAAAAAAACATACAAACACTACAAGCCAATTGTAGAAAAAGCCAACACCCCTGCCGCCTCCGCTAGGTAGCTGTTATATATTGTGTAGTAAATTTTTTTGTCTCTAAGTTTCTTTTGTGGGATTCTATTGGGTTGTTGTTGTAGTAGTAATCCAGCTGTTAGCTTCTCTTTATAATTTATTGTTTTATAAGGTAGTCATCGTTAAATTGTTAAGGTGGGAACTATAGGAAACTTTTGTGGCAGTCCTTAGAGTTAGCTGGTTTTTAGAATCCATTGAATCTAAGCTTTCATTCTTTAATACTTGGAATCCATTTGAACTTGACAAATGGATGCACTCTCTTTCTATCAATAAGTAGTAGGAACCTTGGATTATATTTTAAATCCCAAATTCTGTTTTTAGGGCCTGACATATGATGTTATGTGCTTATTACTCCCTCCGTCCCAAATTAATCTTCCCACCCATTCTTGGCTGCCCCAATTAACTAGTGGAAAGATGTTTTGACCCTCAATTACTTACATAAATTCTAGGTAACATATTATCAGATACTATTCATTTTCCCCACAAGTATCACTTTTTAACCCATTTTTTCAACCTACTCTTAAAATTAGTAACATTTCCACATGGAAATTGTTTTGGACAGTGGGTGTACTGGCTATTAACGTGGCAAGCACCTGTAAAGTTTGCTAAATTTTCAGAAATAGTATGAATGTTGAACTTAATCATGCTTATAGCTTGCGATCTGGAATTATCAGTATATTTGAAGTGTGTGTACGCACACCCATGTAATCAAGTATTAACCTTTGTTGAATTTATTGTTATAGTTCTATAATAAACTATTTCATGAATATTCAATATTTCAATGCCACATTTTAATGGATAATTTGACATGTGCCTGATGTGATGACCTGTTGGACACCAGATATATCACAGAGGATGTTGCAATTATTCCCATGCTCGAAATGATGAGAGAATCCGGGCGTGCTGTTTTTTTGGTGACTAACAGGTATTTTTTTCGGTAACCATTATGATGGTAATTTACATTCCTTTACAATTAGTATGGTCTGAAGATTTGCTTCAATACTAAGACAAACCTTTGCATTCTTCTTAAAATTTATTTCCATAGTGTATCAGTCCACTCAATTCGGTTGCCCTTTCCGTTTATTAAGTTGATGCTTCCAATAATTTGAGTATGCCATTAAGTTGTTAACTGTTAGCACATTTAAAAAAACAAAGAACATCAATTCGTTGTACTTTAGACTGATTTTTTTGGTATGTATTTCATTATAATAGTGGAAGATTTAAAATCTCAAGTTGCATAAACTAAAACTAAAACAGCCATTCTCCCATCATTCCTAAAACAATAAAAAGGATAGCAGAAAACCAGAACTAGCTGTTTTTGAAAGTTTACATGATTTTTGAGTTAATGCTTATTGATGTAATTACATTTGTGCAGTCTGTGGGACTATACAAATGTTGTAATGAACTTTCTCTGTGGACCCAAAGCACCAGATGCTTGCACTGCTGGCACATTTGAATGGCTTGATTACTTTGACGTTGTCATCACTGGCAGGTCATCAACTTCCCTACTTTATATAGAACATATACTGTTTGCTTCATTTACAAAGCAATAAGCTGTTGCGCTAATTTAATTTTACTTTTCCACTCTTGATTAAGGCTGTAACTGAACGAGGACAGCCAAGTTTAGCCTGTTCGGAATTGTTCGTTAAAGGCTAATAATTTGAGATTGTTGCTTAGTAGGCTTACTAAGCAAAACAAGCATTTGTGTTCTTGTTTAACTTTAGCAAGCTTGTATGGGAACAGTAAACAAACAAATGAACTTGCCCTCAAGAAACAATGAAATGAACAAACATCTTTTTTCACATCATTGAAATAGTTTAATACACTATCACTCACAAACTTGTTCACAAACACCTTCATGCAAGCTTTAATCGAGTTTGTTCACAAACTATAAACATGCTTATTGAACACTGATCAAGCTGTTCGCAAGTTTTTATCAAACGAGTTTCTCATTGTCTGGAGCTTTTCTTTTCTCAAACTCTGTTTCATATTCAAGCCCTAAAACAAGTATCATAAATGTTTACTGCTTCACTTAATTAACCAAATGGATACTAAACGAGCCAAACACGGGTTGTTTAGAGAACATTATGTTCATTTACAGTCGTTTTGATGTGCATGTCTTTTACTGAATGTGTAATACTGAAGTTCCCTTTTTTATCTACAGTGCAAAACCAGGCTTTTTCCATGATGAAAATCGTGCTAATATTTTTGAGGTGGAGCCTAAAAGTGGGATGCTGATCAATACTGATAATGGCACACCTATGGCTCTGGTCAGTGTGATCCTTTTTTAAAACATTCTGCATTGGTTTCTATATTTTTCATTTTTTTCCGCTTTGAAATGAACCAATTAGGTGGGAGGAACAACCATAAGATTGCCAACAAAGAGCTCAAAGGAGAACTGCAGAGTATATCAGGTATAAGAGTAAATAAGGCAATAAGTGATGTCACATAGTATCGGTTCATTTCTTATAAATTGTGATATTGTGGCTTCTCAAGATTTAAAATATGTGATCTGTCTGCAAGTATGGATGTTTTTATTATTTTGAGTATGATTATCTTTCTGTGCACTTTTCAGGGAGGAAATGTTGGTCATTTGCACAAATTGCTCAACGTTGAGTCTAGCTCACAGGTATCTTCCAAACCATCTCCCCATAACTTTAATGCTAACTCTTTGGGATCAGTGGGCTGAAACCCTAAAAAAAGCGTGGGCTGAAATTCAATGTCAATTCATTGTCTAAAACTGGTTAACATTATAAAACTCATTCAAAAGATGCCATGGTTGCAATGGTTTACACGGGATGTTTTTTTTTACAACCTTTTTATGGAGTAATGGTGAGATGAAAATCCAAAACTGGCAACCTACACATGCATGGAAAATGGTTGCAGAGATTTATATATTTGCTAGAGTTTTTTAGAGTATGGGGGCTAAGCTATTCTAGAAGGGGTGGACGTAAATAATTGGAATCGTCTGGTTTGTGCGTTGAGCTATTCTCAATTGATTTGAAAATTTTTAATGCACTGAAATTGCTCTATCACCCTAGGTTCTTTATGTTGGAGATCACATTTACGGTGATATTTTGCGCAGTAAAAAAGTTTTAGGTATGCCTTTGGTCATGGACATGTGTTTCTCTCTCAATACATTAGTATCATTGGATTGAGTTCTTATTCTAGTTGAGATTAATTGTTTTTTTTACAGGTTGGAGAACAATGCTAGTTGTTCCAGAGCTTGAAAGAGAGATTGAAGTTCTTTGGGAACTTAAGGATACACGGAAGGTAAATGGGAAACTCGAGATTGAATGTGCAAGTTAATACATCTAATGCTAACGGGAAATAAATCAACAATGTCCTCTTTGGTTAGCTTCCGGGTCTTATTGATGGATCCATATAAAGTTTTGTTGTTTATCATTTCGGTATCTGAAATACTAGTATGAACTGTCATAATTTTTCATAGCAGCAAATAATACTACATTCATGCCAATTCCTTCGGTTACCTTTTTTCCTTGCTCTGCCGTTGATGCACATTTACCTAATTTGCGGTTCTGAGAAAGTTTGTTGTCCTTGCAGCAACTTTTGTCGCTAAGGAATGATCGCGATCGTGTTGAAAATGAAATACATCGCCTGAAGTGGTCTCTCATGTAATTCAGCTTTTCCCCTAAGCAGAGATATCTATATTAAAACTTTGTTAATAGCAAGCCGCGGCATATATTGGCTTAAGCACAATAGTCTCATGATGATTAGTAATCTATGTCACGTTTCCTTGTAACACCCCATGTTGTATGAAATACATTACCACCCCCACCAACACACCTCCCTCTTTCTCAATACTTGTCTATTCACCAACTCAGTGATTTCTTTTAATATTATATTTACATTACATGTTCAGGTCCCAAGGGGAGGGTGATGCAGCAATGGTACCTTCTGAACTTAATGAACTAGAGGTTAGTCCATATAAACCTTTCGATAGATTAGTCATAGAAGATAACCAAAGGTACTTTTTTGAACAGAAAGTGAGAAAAAAACTGTTGGACATGGAATATTTTTTTCGTTGATTTAGCTAAATGTGATTGGCCTCTCTGGTATTGTTTTCCAGAAGTCTTGAGTCTGAAGCCCTCTTAACTCTTTTTGATTTATTTATTTATTCTGCGATGTAGTCTCAGAGAGAGAAGGTCAGGCTTGCTCATCAACATGCTCAACGAGAATATCATCAGAGGGTAAGGATGATAAGCAATTCCTATATATAGCTTGTTAAAAGTTAAAATGAAAGACGTGGTCTATTTCAAGTAAAAAGAATAAATAAGATCTGTTTTTTCAGTTCCATAAGGTCTGGGGACAACTCATGAAGACCGGGTATCAGAACTCTCGCTTTGCACATCAGGTCAGAATGTTGTGGTTATGGGTGAAAGTCATGGTTTGATATTTGATTGGTAGATGGTTGGTTATATGTTTAAAAGTAGTGAAGAAGTTTATATGTTATTTTTGTCACTTCAGGTGGAGAGGTTTGCGTGTCTGTATACGAGCCATGTCACAAATCTGAGCCTCTATTCTCCGGGCAAATACTACAGACCCAGCGAAGACTTTATGCCCCATGACTTTGGCATCCTCTCAGTGTGAACAAAATGGCTTTGCCCTCTAGAGACATTTCAAGGATGAGCTGAGTTGTAAATTTGGATGTGGCTGTGGAAATGACCTTTTTTTACTTCTCATTTGTGAACTTCATTGATTTGCTGCTTCTTTTTTTACTTCTTCTTGAGACATAAGAAACTCAAATTGGGTCCAACCCAAAAAAAGAAAAACTCAAATTGGGTCATCCTGTATTGCATGTGTTTGGTTATCGTATGGAGTAAAACAAACTGATTGTCTTTATGAGTCCCTCCCCCCTTGTGTTTTGGAGCCTTTGAGGTTATGGTTTTTTAATCCAACTGAAAAAAACAATGGAAAGGTAGCCTGGATTGTTCCCTTCTCAATCCCCGGCTCTCCATTGCATGGGAGCTTCGACATGGGGTGGGGTCGAGTTGGAGGGGTAACGTAACTTATCTCCATAATATTCCCCCGTCCCTAAATATTTGTCACTTGTATTACCGAGGCAAAATATCAAGTTTTTTCAATTCATTTTATTTACATATTGGTATAGAAATAAAAAATAAAATTTGCATATAAAAAAACTACATGAAAAGTTCTTTGAAATAAGAGGTGTCAAAAATATTTTATTTTATCAAATAACCAATGAAAATGTAGAAATAAACAAAAGTTCTCGCGACTAATGAAAAAACAAACATTGTAAATAATTTGGGACGGAGGGAGTACTTGCAGTTGTAGTTGTGACAAGAGATAATGTTTGGATTTGACTTTTGACAAGGATGATAATGGTAATCATTCGTAACATGTAATTTTTGTACGTATTAGATATAGATTTACTTTTCTTTTGGGAGGTATAGTTCTCCCATTTTCTTTTAATAAAAGGAATAAGGAGTATAGAACTCAAAATAGTTATTTATTTATAAGAAATTTTAAATCACACTTTTTAAAGTTTAAATATTATTCTTAAGCTATGAGAAGTTAAAATTAAGAATTTATATTTAAGATGAAGAAAGTGTTTCTTTAAAAGTATTTTTTTCATCTCAAAAATAAATTCTTAATTACAGAGAAAGTACTTTGTATTACGGAGTTTTTAAAATGTTAGATTTATGGAGGTAGATTAAACATGTATGCTCTATTGTGAAATGAATGAAGATGAAACAGGTCTTCGGTTGGTTTGAAGTCCAAATTCAAGAGGATTTTGTTGATGGATTCTAAACCAAACTCAATAGCTTTTGAAGTAGAGAGTTCAAACAGAAGATAAAAAATGGAGTTCTGATACTTGCTATACGATTTGGAAAACAAGGAATCAAAGGCTACATGATGAAAAAGAACCGAATATGTACTTTTCTTTTTAAAAAATGTTTGATTTGTCCCAATCTACATTTTCAATATACCAACAACCCCTTTGGAATTATCAGAGAAATCGAATTAGGGTGTTAAGACATGTTTTCTTCATCTGATCTGAATAATTCTAATCTGATTAGAACAAGTTCTGTTTAATTGTAGTCATATCTTAAATTATTTCAGATCTGAACTAAATCTAATAAAATAGTACTATGTAATAAGTAATAAGAATAATTTGAAAAGAATGTGCTCTTAGGGGATGGTTGGGAGTGTGTTTGAAAATAGCTTTTGAGCTTCTATTGCATTAAAACAGAATTTTAAGTATTTTTCAATCAGCTTTAGATTATGGATTGTGATTTCAGAAGCTTAAATTGTGCTCTAAAAATGATTTTCACCAAAGCTCAAAGTAACTACTTTCAACTTCTGATTTAACACATCTACTTTTTCAACGAACACCCCATCACAAACACCCTCTATTAGAGGGTGTTTGGGAGTGTGATGAGTTATGTATAAATAGAAGTCATAATTTAGAAGCAGAAAGCATATATTTGTAGCTTTGCTAGAAAGCACTTCTAGACCTTAATTTTAACTTCTAAAGCCATAATTTATAAGCTAAAGCAGATTAGCAAACATTTAAAATTGTGTTTTAGTAAAATAAAAGCTATAAGTTATTTTCAAATGCAATGCCAAACACCTTCTTGCTAGCACAAACGCAGACACGAACGACCAAAAGACATTTGGAGCGTAAGTTAAATTGACCCAATCTCAATTCTCAAGCAGTCCGCTTTTTCCGGCCCGGCCCAAATCTTCGTCGCCCATTTGGTCTTCAAGGTGACTATCACAATTCGCCCCAAAATCGGCAGCTGAAATCGTCGCCGGAGCGGAGAAGATGAGTCTGGGGAAGGTGGGCAAGTTCACGCGGAACATTCTAGATCAGAAGCGCCGATTCCTTGCGGCGAAATGCGAAGTGAAGAGGAAGCTCTACAAAGCCATCTGCAACGATACATCTCTTCCGGCGGATCTGCGGGAGCAGCACCGTCAGAAGCTGTCGGAGCTTCCCCGGAACAGCTCCTTCACCCGATTGAGGAATCGGTGCATCTTCACCGGCCGCCCTCGCGCCGTTTACGAGAAGTTTCGAATGTCTCGGATCGTCTTTCGTTCTCTTGCCAATCAGGGGGCTTTGCAGGGTGTTAAGAAAGCTTCATGGTAGCAACATCCAGGTATAATAATAAACTATGATTTCTACCAATTTCCTGCCCTAATTTCTTGACATTCAATGCTGGATAATGCTGATTAGTCTTAAAGGTTAGCCATTTTGTCGACATGCCAATTACAATTGATTCTATTGCCATATACTCCTTGGAACAAATCCGATGAATTTTAATCATCAACTAAATGAAAACTGCATTGCATATCAATACAATGAAATGCTTTTTTTGGATGTTTTCTGCAAGATCAATCTAATGAAATTCAATATTGTATTAACATGTTATACAATTTTTATGTAATTGGTGAACAAAATTTGTCCTTTTTTACTCGAAAACTTTTTACTCTGGGACAGAAATGGTATGAATTGGTTGGGGGTACATTGTGGTTGAAGTACCCAATCAAATGCTTAGCCTTTTTTTTACGGTAAACGCTTAGGCATTGTTTGTACAAAGAGTATAATTGAAGTATAAGACTAAATAAGAGTGAGGAAGAATAAATAAGATTAGTGAAGAAATTTCGTACGAGTGGAAAGTAATGCTCCTTTGCATCCTAACTTGCGCTTCAAAAAAATCTCCCAAACAAGAGCAATGAGGACACTCAATCCAAACAGAGTCCGAGGAAGCTTTTCTTTTCTTCTTCTCTGACACATAATTAAATTTTCTCTTTTATGTGATGTTTCATATGCCATGTTTCTTGATTTTTGTTTACAAGCAACTCAGTGGAGAGATTTGCCATCAAGAAATGTATACCCGGTACATAATAATGGGGGTGTTTGCACATATGTCATGTTTGATACGGAGTTATTCATTATTCATTTTGAACTACTACAGATAAAGTTTTCGAAATTATGCTCCTTCCATGAGTTTGTGTCTAAGGATTGTCATGTGTTTGCCTATAGTTTGATTTTGCATTGAATACTTCATAACTTATTTGATAACTCACGAGTCGCGCTAGCACTTTTTTTTGCGCCTCAGGCAATAGAGGACATTTGCGCCTTACAACTTTGACTATATTAGCCCAACTCACTTGGTACATGTTAATGTCTTTTATTTTGAATCTGTATGCAAAATTTGTTACATTATTTTTACCGAGCGAATGTGAGTCCAAATGATGATGATAATGCAGAAAACTTAGATTTAATGTTGAGATTTGATGATGATAATGCAAATGATGATGTTAATGCAGGAAGTGAGTTGATCGCTTTTCTGGGGAACGACACATGTACTTGGAAGTCGAGTTTGGATCTCAGATATCTCTTGTTTTCGTGTCGGGTTCATAAATTTATGGAAAACATGAAGACCCGTGTTTCTGTTACAATACTACTAAATGTAACTCTTATGCTTCAAGCCTTCAAGAATCTTTTTTTTTCTCTCGAAATTTGCTGTTCTTTTTTGTTGGTATTTAAATCGACTTGCTATTTTATTAGGGAATACAGTATATACTAAAGGAGAGGGAGCATTACTGGAAATTAGCACTCATGCTAATACTTACAAAGTTCTAAGATCTCATCATTTTTTTCCTTTTTCAATGCTATACTCTAATCTCTATTAAGTTTTTACTCCATTTAAATATTTTTAAAATAGCAAACAGGAAATGATTTTCCGTTTCTCATGATAAACTTTTTCTCCCTTTTTTTCTCACCAAATTGGAGGAAAAATTATTTTCTTCTTTGTTAGTTTATTTATTTTCTCATTTTCTTTTATTTTTCTCGTTAACTAAACAAGAATAAATGTTTTTTCGTGTCATTTTCTTTATTTTCCTTGTTTAATTCCTTGACCAAATGCAAATGGTTGTTATTGGGCTAAATAATGGTGAGCAACCCCATTACCAGATCTTCCAACATTATGGGGCTGTTTGTTTCAGCCTCTTAATGGTTCAGATGTCTGAATGATTCAGCACTTAATGGTTCAGACTGTTTGTTTCAGCCTCTTAATGGTTCAGATGTCTGAATGGTTAATAGATTTGCCTCTGAATGGTGAAGTATTATACAGAGTCTGAATGGTTAAAAGCTGTTATCTGATTTGATCAGACATTTGCCTCTGAATAGTTAAGCAATATACTAGCTCTTAATGATTCAAACCTCTTACTGGTTCAGCACTTAATGATTCAGACCTCTTACTGGTTCAGCACTTACCCATTCAGAAGTTGCCAAACAGCCCCTATGATTGAATGAAAATTCTTCCCGAAGCTGAAAAAAACTAAATATTTCATTAAAAAATCCATCCCAAAAATTAATTTTCATTTGATTTTGGCCATTTTAATTCAAAATTTGAAATGTTGAGATTGAAATCGAATTCCATTGTTTGGCAAATTGAAAATGTGACATTTGCACTAGAAATTCAAAATTTATGTTAGTTGATCCAATTGTGTTTAGACCGACCATGATTTAAGACAAGATTTCAATTTAAATTGAAGTAAATTTCTCAAATTAAAATATACAGAGTACAAATTTATAACCAGACAGTATAAAATTGGACAAAAAGACCTTAACATATATACGGAGTATACAAAAGATCTTTGACACAGATGCTGAAAATTTGAAATGATAAGGCCATAAGGGTTCTAATGGTATTTCAAGTATTCATTCTTGTTTGGTATTAAATGACTCTTGGATTTGAGCCAATTCCAAAGCCATATTCAATTGTTTGACATACAAAATATTTGGTCCAAATCCAAAATTTAGAATGAAATTCAGGTTCCCAAACAAACCAGAATGGAATATGGCAATATGCA